ATGTGGACTGGGCTTGGCTGACTTAGCATGCTTTTGGAGGGTTGAACCTTGCTTTTGGGCTTTTGTAATTAAATCATTTGGACCGGCCCAATTAGTAATCACTAAATTGGACCCAAACAACTTGCCCCCCAGACCCGATTCGGAAGGATGACGGGTCGGGTTTTGACTTGCAAAATGGAGGGAAACAAATGATTGTAATTCAAATCTGGAATTTAGATAGTTAATGACGTTGTAGCTATCATTAAGGAGAATAATTAGGGAAGGCAGAAGGTTTAGTTGGTGGTTAACTTGGGAAAAGTGTTAACGGTTGTGATTAAGTGGAAGTAGTGGGGTTTTTGGCGGTTCGGACTCTTGGAATTCTTGATTCCAGCAAGTTTATTTAAACCGCCCTCTTCACTCTTTTTCCGTCACTTTTCGCAAACACAAATACCCTGAAATTCGCAAACACCCTTGAGAGCCTGGTTTTACTCCTTCCTTATTCTCTGCAATTCCGAGCTTTAAACTGAAATTTATTGTTCCGAGCTTATTGATCGGCAAATTCCTAATTTGATAAAGGTAATTTTCTCCGAAACTTGTTCGGATTTTCTTGTTTTTTCAAGCTTTCCCCTTTTTCTCGATTTTCTTGATTTTCGTAGAAATATGGCTCAAGACCGAGGAAAAAGGCCTTTGGTTGATGAGGGGGAGGAGGAGTTTCTGCCATTGGGTGCTCGGCGCAACCAGCCACTTGGCCAGATGCCCCCTCTTAACAACCAAACCTCTCATCCTAGGACAGGCGATAGGGTTTCTTCTGGGGAACCCCGTCATTGCTGCGATACCACTGGATTCGGTGCCTTACCGAGGTTGAGAAGAGGCAAGCATATCCAGCAGTGGCTCAGCGCATGGGCCTCGTCGCCTTCCCTCTGGGGCCGAGGAATGGAACAACCCTCCCGAGAATTATGGGTTGATGAACGCTGCTCCCTATGACTGGTGGGTCAATGGGGATGCCCTCCATCACTTCGCCGAGCAAATCGAAGTATTCTACGGTATAATGGAGGAAGACGGGTATTGGTGTCAAATGCCCGTAGCCGAGGACAATATTCACAGGCCCCCACCTGGCTACACCGGCGTGTACACCAGGCAACTACAATTTGGAGTAAGATTTCCTCTGCATCCGTTCATTGTACAGGTGTTGAATGGGTACAACATTTCGCTGTGCCAATTAACCCCATTCAGCATCCGAAAAGTCATGACATTTCTCTATGTCTGTCTCTTCTACGGATTTGAACCGAGCATTCATGTTTTCCTCAAACTGCATAAGCTGATGCCAAATCAGCAATTGGATGAGCACCATGGCCCCGGATGGTGGAGAATTGAGACCCAAAGGGGGTACTTAACCACTTGGCCGAATGACACGTTCGATAAAGATTAGCGAGGCCAATGGATATGGATTCGGGTTCCTGTAGAGGAGGATCACCCAAATTAGTATGGAGGGCCGAGGCATCTGAGAATGCCAGATCCGAAGATGAAAGTCATCGGCCCAGATGATTTCGCAGTTGAAGAGAAGAAGTTGTTGACTCTCTTCGGGAAAAAGAGGAACCCAAGGGGCACTAGCCGAATGACCTTTGTGCCAGAGAGTTGGCTACCCTGTTATCATTATATCTTCAAGGAGAAGATATTAGCTGCTGTCGGCCTCAGCCGAAAGTACCAGAATGGTAAGAAGCTCGGCTGGGGCCGAAGGCCTTTGGTTTTCTTTTTTATATTTCTTTCTGCTTTTATTTGCTTCTTTTTCATGCAGAATAACCTGTTTCTTTCGGTTTTTCAGATCTGCACGAAGGGAATTGCGGCCTTAAATATAACAGACTTGGGAATAACGATGCTCGGCAAGTGACGAGGAACGCCCCAACTATAATTGATCCATCGGCTAGGGCTCTTGCACTTCGACCATCAATGCTTGAGATAGTCAAGCCAACTGAGTATTCACTTCAAAAACCTTGGTTCTTAAAAAGGGAACCATTTTTCTTATTGGGTCCAGAAGAACAAGCTGTTGCTGTTACTGCTAGCGTACGGGCTGGAGTCTTTGCTAGAGACCCCGAGCAAAGTGCTGAGCTGCAAGCTTCTGTTGCCGAACCCAACGTGCTCAGTGCTAAAGACGAGCTACTGCTGAAGACCTTGGTGAGCCTTACTGCCTTTTCTATTTTCGTTTACTCTGTGCTTTGCTCCTTCTACTTAGATCTTTCAAATTATGAAAATTTTCTAAGTACTAAGCTTCGGCTTATTGTTTTTTTTTCTTTTTCTTTTCTTTTCCATTTTTTTTTACTAATGTTGCTCTTTGTCCCCCTGTCTCTTCTGCTGCAGTCTGACGAAGAAGAAGAAACAAGAGATAACCTAACAAAGAATCATCATCTTCTTCGGAGGAATCTTCGGCTGACGAAATGGCTGGCTAGAGAAGAAGAAGGGCTGTAGTAAATCAAGGACACTTCTCGGTTGCTGAGCCCCCAACTAAAAGACCTCGACTGGATGAGGACCAGGCCGAGGTGGCCAAAGAGAAAACTCCTCCTCCTCCTTAAAATAGGGAGGAAGAAGTTCAGCAAAGGACTCCTCCCATCCCGAGATCTTCTCCATCTCCTCGGCACGTATCTGAACCTTTTGCTGCTGAGGTTCCGAAAGAAGCTGACGCATTCATCGTGCAGCCTGCCGAGGATGACGATGTACAAATTCTAGATGGGAGGCCTGGAAATTTTAAGGAGGCGAGGAAAGAGTTGATGATCCCAAGATTTCTGACATTCCATCAACCTCTGCTAGGAACTATTTCCGGACCTTCCAATCTGCAGATATGGGGTTTGAGTCCACCCCATTGTCTATTATTCCAGAAGCTGTTAGGAACATCATGTTGTCTCACCGAAACTCAGCTGTTGAGTTTTTTGGTGACTTGTCTGGCCTTTCAGAACTGGAAAGGGCTAAGGTCTGGTGTCATCGGGCAGCTGCTAGAGTTTCTGAGCCTTTAGTGAGGGTGCCAGACCCTTTTGCTGAGAACCACAAACTGCTAATGAAGGTAGCTTTACTTAAACTTTTTGCCTAAGTGTTTTAGCTTCCTTTTCATTAAGCTTGCTTTCTCTTAAGACATTTTGTTCGAAATTTAGCCTAGTCCTTTTTCTCTTTGCCCGGGGGAACTGATTCATCCAAAGTACAAGGCCTCACTAGGCAATAATTCGAGGTTTTATCATTTATCCTCGTCTTGGCAGGTTTTACGGCTTGCAGAAGTACAAGGCCTCATTAGGCAATACTTCGGGTAGCGCCGAACGAAAACCTTGAACTTTTCAAAAACCATTGAAGACAGAAAAAATAGAAACTTGCTGAATTTGAATAAACGGTGGCTCAAAGGCCTTTCATTAATATGAAGGATGTACTTACATAAATTACTCTTCCCCGAAGGGTTTTACACATGGTATTTCTTAAGTACATCGGCATTCTAATGATTTTTCAACTCAGTACCATCCAACTGCCGAAGTCGGTATTTCCTGGCTAAAGATCATCATATATTTCATAGGGTCCCTCCCAAGTGGCTGATAGTTTCCCATGAATGCGGCCTTTTTGCACAGCAACAACATTCCGAAGAACAAGGTCCCCAATTTTGAGAAGTCTTGCATGGACTCTTCGGTTGTAAAATTTGCTGATTCTCTGTTATATGCAGCCATTTTATCTCGAGCTGAATCTCTGATCTCATCCAAGAAGTCAAGGGACTCTTTCATGAGTTTTTCATTTTCATCGGCTGAGAAGAGATTTACTCGTAAACTTTCTGAGCCAACTTCCACTGGAAGGACGGCTTCAGATCCATACACCAGCTCAAAAGGTGAATGCCCCGTTGCCTCTTTTTCTGTTGTCTGAAGTGACCAGAGAGTTCCTGAAAGTTCCTCTACCCACTTGGATTTTTGATCTTCAACTCTCTTCTTGAGAGCATTGAGAATTTGCTTATTTGTAGCTTCGGCTTGACCATTACTCTGAGGATGACAAACTGTAGAATATGCCAATTTAATGCCAAACTGGTCAGTGTACCGCTTTAGTGGCAAGTTATCAAATTGCGTCCCATGATCGAAGACAAAACCTTTGAAATCCCAGAGCGAGTGATAATGTTTTGCTAGATGAATTACCTGACTATTTGCTCTGTAATGTTCAAAGCTGCTTCGGCTTCGATCCATTTGCTGAAATAGTCTATCCAGACTATTAGCCATCTTTTTTTATATGGAGTATCAGGAAATGGTCCCAAAATATCCAATCCCCATTGAGCAAATAGGAGGGGATTAAGGATTGGCCGAATATCTCGCGATGGCCGATGGATGACTAGTGCGAACTTTTGACATTTTTCGCATTTTCTGACCAGCTCATTTGCATCTATAATCATGGTGGGCCAGTAGTACCTACCCTTAGTGCTTTATGGGCTAAAGCTCTTTCCCCTATGTGGTTTCCGCAGATGCCGAGGTGAATTTCTCGAAGGATGTAATCAGCATCTGTTGGACCCACACATTTCAATAGTGGGGCTGAAAAGGACTTTTTCTGGAGCTCCCCTCTGAAGACGATGAACCTTGAGCTGATTCTCTTCATCTTAGAGGCTAAGTTCCTGTCTTCGGGAATTTCTCCCCGATGTTTGTAAGCTAGGATGGGGTCCATCCAGCTCCGTTCGTGTGTGACGCAACAAACTTCAGGTTCTTGGTCCACACTTCTTTCTCGGCGCACTTCCACATATACGGATCGGTTCAGCTCTATTAGAGTTGAACTTGCAAGTTTGGAGAGTGCGTCGGCTTGTGCGTTCTGACCCCTTGGGATCAGCTCGACTTCAAAGGTTCTCATCTTTGCAAAATCTACAAAGTCTATTATTATATAGGGTAGCTCCCGCTAAGCTGACCGACGCTCCAAGCACCACTTGAAAGGTGCACACTCACGCCAGTTTGGTCTAAGGCCAGTGAAAACCTCCCAGGGGCTCAGCTTCGCGACTGACCCCAACAGGCTCCACCTTGTAGTCAAGATCAATCTCCTAAGAGCTCAGCCTCATGACTAACCTCAGCAGGCCTCAGGCTGCAGCACCAAGAATAGTACAACGGAAAAGGGGTTAGACACATACATTTCATCACTTATCCATTATTATCCACTTAATACTTTACTAACTTAAGCATCGGAGGGGGTTTCCTCGAAACCACCCCTGAGGGCATAACCACCGTTCATTGTGCAGGTGATCCCAGCCAGCACCCAGATCTAACCACCCGCTAGGCTCCGGAACTACACCCGGAACAATTAGGCACACCCATTTTAGAATCATGTATTACAATATTGCTTTCGTTAAACAAAATACTTTTACTTTCAATGTCTTATGATCATCTAACACTATCTCTGTTTTTTTAATTTTGGCCTACTTTATATTCTTGTAGTAACAAAACTTTAAGGAAAATTTGAAATATATCACCTACTATTATACTCGTTTTATTAATAACTACCAACATTTTTTTTATCTTACCACCAACAATTCTTAAAAACATCAAAAATCACTGCCTGTTTTCCAAAACCCTCTATAGTGACGTCATGTGGGCCCCATTAACTACCTCCCTCCCCTATCTCCTTCTCTCTTCTCTCGATTCTCACCTCAGTTCTTCCTTCTTCTTCATCTTTCTTCTAAATTCGCAAAAAATTGCAATCAATGAGGTAATTAGAGTTTTAATTCACCACTCCAGCCAAATAACAATGCAACACCGAGTGCATAATCATCTTATAAAAAAGGTATGTTTAATTAGGGTTTATGAAATCAATTTGGGGGTTTTTGAAGTAAAAGTAGGGTTTATGAAATCAATTTTGTGGGTTTTTGAATTAAAATTAAGGTTTATGAAATCAATTTGGGAGTTTTTGAATTGAAATTAGGGTTTATATATGAAATCAATTTGGGATTTGATTTTGGTGATAGTTTGTTGCAAAATTAATTCTTATTTTGTGAAATACTACTAAGTAAGAACAAAATTAAGGTTGAAATTTGTGTTTTTTTTTCACCATGTACTTGAAAATTTGATTGTTTCGTGTTGAATTTTAGAACTATATTCAAAGCCTAATCCCCCTCCAATGTTGTGTTTGTGCTTCGCTGTTGGTCGCCCCCCCCCCCCCCCCCCCGAGCTAACTTTTGGACAACAATGATGAAGACTCAATTTTGAGAAGGAAAGAGGAGAGAGAGAGAGAGAAAAAAAAACAATGAAGAATCTATCCGTTGGGGGGAATAATTTTGGTGGGTGAGCATAGTAATGAAGGGTTAAGAAGAGAAGAAGAAGTGAAGACTGAGAATCGAGAGAAGAGAGGGAGAAATTGAGGAAAACGAAAAAGGGTGACGTCACTGTAGAGGGTTTGGGCAAACATGTGGCGATTTTTGATATTTTTAAGATTTGTTGGAGGTAAAGTAAAAAATAATAATTTGTTGGTAGTTATTACTAAAACGAGCAAGTATAATAGTAGGTGGTATTTTTCAAAATTTTTAAACTTTAAACATGTATTTTGATGAATATATATTATCATCTAGAAACTTAGATTTATTTCGATATGTAAATTCAACGTACTCCATAAAAAACTTTTACGTATCCATCGGACACCACATAAAATGCAAGTAAGTAGAATTTAGGGAAAAGGAAGGAGTAGTTAATGTTGGGTCCTACAGTTTTGTAGTGATGACAAACGCCTGAACTAGTTGTTTTTATACAAATTGTTTAGATGTGCAACAAAAGGTTGTCATTCTTTGTTTTAAATTATTTATCCAATTTGATAAAGATTAATAAAGAACTGAATTGAAGTGTTTCTACCTAAGGAACGCTTCAAGACTTGAAGTACATGAATATAATAACTAGATTAGAGTTTTTCATTGCCAGTCTTTAAGTATTGTATGTGTGTGAATTGGTAAATTGTTTCTATAAAAGGAGATAAATATTTTGAATACTAGAATCAATTCAATTGGTATTCAAAACACTACCAATTTAGAAGACTGAACAAAAATTCTGTTTAGTAAAAATGCGCGATCATCCAAGTTTCCAAATCTATGAATTATCTCCTTAAAGTATATTTAGCTTAGAATATATTCACTAACTAAGAGATTACAATTATACTATTTATGAGATAATTCATATAAATTCTTGAGACATTATTTTGTATCTATTTATGGAGACAAAATAAAATATTATGTACCTTTGGTTGCGCGATTATATGTTTTAGAAAGTACCTTTGCATCAAGATATGAACGTTTAAGTCATGAAATAATTTGTTTTGAGCTTACTTTTTTTATACATAAAACATTATTTATTGACAACATCTCGTCTATTTTATAAACTTTTGAAAACATCCCATTAGTTTCACTCTTGAGAACATTTCATCAGTTTTATTCACATTAGTATATACCACTGTTAAGACTTTATTGTCTCTTACCATAGCTTTATGTGAAAGCATTTTTGAGAGAAAATGTGTGATTGTAAAGGAAAACTAAAGAGTTAGTGATCATATAACATTTGTGACATCAAGTGCAATTGCTTGGGAGGTCAAGTGCACATATAGCGTTAGATGTGGGCAATAATTTTGTCTCGAGTTAGATTAGTAATTATTATTATAATTGTTCTTGTGATTTGAATGAAACAAATTAAAAATTAAGAGTTATTAGGGTAGTGAGGACAAAGACTCTGAGCTGGGTGAAACCTCGGTATATTCATGTTTTTTTTTTTTTAATTAACTACATTTACTTTGCGAAAAAAGATTTTATCAGTTCCCTTGAATCATAAACTTATATAAGGACACATTTATTGTACTCAATTTTAACCTTACTTATTATGTACCAGCTACCCTTGAATTTAATGTAATGTGACTTTTTATAATTGCTTTAATTTCTTCAAACAAGATAATGTACTTCCTTTTTATTGTTTAGTTATAAATTTTTAAATTAAAAAATATAGGATTAATTATATTTTATTACTAATTTGAATTTTGAGATACAATTATTGCTAAATTAGGAGCAAAATTTAAAGAGAGTATAATTTTTGTTTAATTAAAAAATCATGATATTGCAAGATAAATTTTATTGAGATTACATTATAACTAAGTTTGTTGAACAAATACTCTTTAGAGTTTTAAGCAAAAAAATTTTTAAAGAAAGGTGAGTTGGTTTGTTAAATTTAATCTCTTGTTGTATGAAATTCATCAGATCTAGAAAATCAAATTTCATTTAGCGGCCTCCTCATTTCTTTTATGTCTCTTTTCTCTCTTCTTCCCTTAAACTCTTTATCTTTTTTTTTTAGGGACTACCATTAACAAACTTTATATTTATTCACAACCTTTTTGTTTTATGTACATAATAAACCTCCATTTTCTCTTTAATAGAGAGATATTTCTACCCGATAACATAGGTTAAAGTTCCGCATTGGCAAATGTGCTAATCAAACTGGGGCATATATTTTGAAATGGAAGGAGTATTAAAGTTTCTTAGTATAATAAAATGGTGAAAGACGAGTCCTACTTATGTAAAGTATTCTAGGAACTTATATGTTGCATTAGTAGTTTATTTTGTTAGGATTATTTTTGCGTTAGTTGTCCATTTTGTGCTCTATTAAACTCTGTTTGTGTTTCCTATAGCTATTTTTATGCTTTTGGGATTGTTAAGGATGAATTGGACAATGATCAGATGTATCAACACTATGAATTGAGATCGATGAATGAAACATATATGCTTCCAGAAGTTTATCTAAGTTTCATAACCACAGAATGGAACGTAGCATCCACAAGGGTAACTAGCTATCTTTTGAAAATGAACTTGAGTTGGAAACGAAGCAAATGATAGTTTCCAAAGTGGAAAAATCGATCGTTGTCCAACATTTTTTTTAATTATAACTTGTGTTCAAGATTCAAGTTTTGTTAGAAGATAGACTTAAAAAGTTTTCTAACAAAATGTAACACACCCTTAAAAGTTTCCTAGGTCAAAAAATATGACCATCTCTATCTGACCTAGCAAACTTGCGATAGCAGCGTGTCACCCATTGTTATCCCCTTACCTTTGTCTTATGCCTGTAGACACCTAATTGCGTCTCCCCAACTCCAAACTCGGTGATGAATGACCTTTTACCGCCAATGGTCAGGTTAGGCATTAGAATTAAGAATTAATTGAACTCTTAGCCCAATTTTATTTTAATCCACCTAATTTAATTCAATCCTAGCCCAAATATCCATTCAAACCCTTTTCCTAGTCCAAAATCCAAAATCCACAAACCATAACCTAATTTCTTTTTTCGTGACCCCAACCCAAAACCGAGGAATATTAATTTTTGTGGGCCATAACTTTGATTCAAATATGAATTGGTTGAATAGGTCTTGAAATAATCTTTCCAATGATATATCATAAACTTATTTCCTATTTAAAATGAAGAAGATATGAGCAAAACACTAAAACTCATCCCAAAACCGACACTCTTGTAATCGAACGGTCATATTTTTAAATATAGGAAATATTTGACCTAATTTCAATTGGTTTGGAATGTAGATTTCAAGATATTTTCAACGATATATTATTATATGCCTTATTTCGAGTTACGGATCAAAAGTTATGGAAGTTTTAAAATCGTTAGAACTAGGTTATCGGTGAGAAGACAGTTTTTCTTCTTTTTTTTGGTGAAAAGAGGAGATAGTATCATACAAGCAATTTAAGCCTTTGATCATAGTTATACCTATTCTAATCATTGTTTTCAGGTAATTTGAAGTCCCTTTGCAATACTTAGAGTTCTACTCATCAACCTAGGTGTAAAAGGTTGAAATTTTTAAGAGTTTGGACAAACCTAAACTTAATTTTATTCTAATTTAATTAATTCGATTTAATTTACATTTTTATTGAAGCTATTGACAATTTATTCATGATGTAGCAATTTAAAGGAGCGCACGCAATGTAAGTAATTAATTCAATTAATTGCTTAACTTATTTATTTTGCTAATATCATGTTTAGGTTTATTATTATGATTTGGATGCTTTGACTAACAATGTTATGACATTTCTTCCAATATTTATACCGTACTAATTTTTCTTATTATTGATCACCCTTTTGCATGTTTAATTAGAAATTGAATATGTAATAGAAAATCATGCCTAATATGATAAGTTCGACAATCTGATTAGGTTCCCTTTTTATGTTGTGGACTTTAATAAGTGATCACAAAATAATTAGAATTATGTGTGCATTAATATTAAACCAATTTAGCCTAATTTAGTTTGGAGCAAATTAAACTTTTGTATGTCTTTCGAATCACATGAAGTACTTTTCACAATAAGAATCGAGTATAGGCCAATACGGGCGAAGTTAACTTCCATGACTCAATTTCGTACCGTCATCCTTCATCCATGGTTCATAACCATATGGAGTTAGAAATCTCATGGATTATGAATGAGGTGTAACCATCATGGATCAAAGCATTGTTTCCTTTCGGTTTGTCCCTTTCCGTGTTAGACATTAATGATCCATAATAAACGGTTTACAAGTTCCTTACAAACTTGTTGGCGACTCCCTACTTTTTTGTCCCTAATCATATAATGTCAAATCCCACTTCCTATAATTGCCAAACATGTTCACAACATGCTTAAGTAGAAGCCGACACCAAGTAAGCAAATATTCTAAACCCTTTTTACTTGCCCACAATCTTTGGTATATTTATTCTTGCACCAGCAGGATTTAGAAAGGCAACCAGCAAGGATGAGTAGCTAGCAATACACGAAGTTAGCTCCACAATAAAGCAGACAGCACACGAGCATCATTACAGCAAGGCAGCAACGTCGAGGAATATCCTTGGATCGTCATCGTGCCACATCATCAGTTGTTGTCCACTGATTCTCTAGTCTATAGTTTTATTATATTTTTTATTTTATTTTATTTTAATTATAAGAATCTTATAAGTACTCACATGGATTATTATTTTTCGAGATTATTTACATTATTTTCATATGTTTGTTAAGTTTTCTCTAACCCTAATTTCTCTAGGGCAACTCCATAAATTTCTCCATAGTTCTAGTAATTTCATTGAGGTAGTTTTACTTCCTTTTTTGCTATTTATTTATTTGTTTACAATTATGATTTATTCATGAGTTTTAGATTTTATTCTTCACTTCATGTTTGAGTAATTTATTTATTATGGTTGAGAATTTCTATTTATACTATGAATCATGATTGATTGATATTTATATTTTGATTAATCTTAGATATTTTTAATTAATGGTGTTTTATTGTAAATTTTTAACCTTATAAATTGTTTGATTAAATCTTTTTAGTAGGAGTGTAATCAAATCATCGTATTGTGTTATAGGCTTACCCACAATTTGCATGTTTTTATTATGTTAGCAATCGTATTGCATATATTGAATTCAAACAGTTAAAATCAGACTGCAAGCTTAGAAAATGCTCTAGATAATTGATTAATCGAATTATTAATATCATAACATTATTTATTTTGGGAAAATTTGTCAGAAAGGTCCTTTTAAGTAGGCTTTTTTGTTGTAAAGGTCCTTTTAATAAAAAAAGGTGGCACAATAGGTCCTTTTATCGCACTTAACGGATGTTGGGAGGGTTTTTTGACCGAATTTCGGCCATTAATATTTCTTGTCCGACCAAAAAAAAGTCATGTGCACCACTTAAAGTCCTTTTTCCCTCTTTTACTCTCTGACTTGGTCCGATTTGTCTTCAATTACCTTCAATTATAATGTGAGGGACTAAAATTGGAGTTTGATGATTTTTTTCTCAAAAAAGAATTCGCATTGAGGTAGTTGATGATGAAGAAATTAGGGTTTAATTAAGGGAAAAGGGGGGGGAAAAGGATTTTAAGTGGCCACGTGCAAGACATGTGCCTTTTTTTTGTCGGAAAAAAGAAGTCAATGGCCAAAATCCGGTCAAAAGACCCTCGCCACAACCTAAGTGCGATAAAAGGACCTTTTATGCCATCTTTTTTGTAAAAGGACCTTTACAACAAAAAGGCCTACCTAAAAGGGCCTTTCTGACAAATTTTCCTTTATTTTGTCCATACATTAAAAGTTAATATTTTTTAAAGAACCTTTTAAAGCTAAATTAACTAACCATCTTTTTGTGGATTCGACCCTACTTATCTTTACTACACTATTAAAAAGTATCTTCATGATTTTTTGATAGGTTCAAGAAATTAAACCAATCAGTGAGCACAATACTTTTCTATAAATATCTTTATATTTTGTGTAGATTTGAGAAAATATCTCGTGTCATCTTGATTTACACATGTACTCACTTCTTTTCTAAAAGTGCTTCCAATTTGAAATTGCTTGACACAATAATCATCCAATTTTCTTAGAAATGACAAAAAGTACAACCTTATGGGGTCATGTTCAATTCTTCTCGGTGAGTACTTTATAAGTATCAAATTTTTGTAAATTATTTTTTAAACATTGAATTAGTGATAAGAACGATTTGAATTGTGCATTAGAAAATGTATCTAGATAAATAATATAGGAAGAGGTTTGAAAAAGGGGTCAGGGTGTACTTAAAATATTTTAGCTGATTTTCTTGAAAATGATACTGAATTTTAATCAACACCTCGTCGTGTGAAAGAATTAAAATTTGAATGCATAGTAAATTTAGTTACCTTGACGGCAGACTTTCTTTGATGGAAACGTATTGTTTCCAATAATGCAAAGTGGATTTATGAGTTGACTTCTTCGTACCACCATTAAAGGCTCTAACAATGAACTCTTCGTCTCTTGCCCTATTCATAATTAGTGAATTGTAACATATACATCATAATTGAATTCATAGATAAGCATAACCAAAAGAGTGATAGATATAATACTACTTCGTACTGTATATAATAATGTACCATTAATTTTTTTTTTTATGAAGGAATAATAATGTACCATTAATTGCTGTACTCCTGTTATTTTTAATTTTTTTTTTTTTTTTATTTTATTTATTTATTTAATTTTTTCCTTTGATGGGCTGTTATTTTTAATCTTACAACTATTTGTTTTGATATAATCTTTTTTTAACTTCCTACTTTTGTTTTTATTATCCTTTTTTTTTTGGAAATAAATAATTCCTGCTTTTTATCCCTTCATACCGTTACTACGTGGTCTACTATATAGATAATAAAGAGACTAATGTCTCTTGAATAAGTCTTGTATGTGGCTAACCACACGGTGTGGCCACATTGATTTATAAGAATAATCTTTATTTATATATATGAGTAACCCTATTTATTTATAAGAGTAATCTCATTTTGTCCATTAAAGTAACTCCAATTCATTATATGAGTAATATCAACTAATTTATTAGAAATAAGTAACCTCATTTGTTCATTCGAGTAACCCTTATTTTTTTGTTTTAAAAATTGAAAGAATGATTCCACTTATGTAACCCTTTTTTTCATTTAAATAACTCACATACGTCAAGATAACCCCATTTGCTCATCACCGTAACCCCCTATTATTTATTTAATTGCCTTATATGTGAAATGACCACACCATGTGGCACATGTAAGAATTTATGATTTCTCTTGACTCCTTTATCTTTCCTACCAAAAAAGTCAAAAACAAAATCCACTTTCCAAGTTTTATTTCCAAGGTTAGGTAATTACATTAAATAGAAGGGATAGAGAGGGTGATTACTTTATATGACATTTAATTAAACTTACCGATGGTCAAAGTTAGATAACCACTTCAAATAAGCAACACCAAAATATACATTTACAAAAGGTCTATACAAAATAGAACTTTCTTCTTCCAATGCACATGCTCGATATCCATGTTCTCTATGACAAAGAAAATTTAAAACTTATTAGATTAATATATTTGTACTTCTTCCGTCCTAAAATAATTGAGACACAAGACTTTTTTTTTTTTTATTAACTTTGGCTATCTATCTTTTATCGCTATTATATAAAGTAATTTTAATAAAAACTCGATATTCCAATAATATACATTATGATAAATTAAGCAACTTAATAATTAATTTTTATTTTATATAATAGGATAAAAAAAATATGGTAAAGGTTTATGAAAAAAAGTCAAGTGTGTCAATTATTTTAGGACGGATGCAGTATAATATTACATATAAGATTATCTATTATAATGTGCACCTGAACAACCAATTAGAAATTTGGGGAGAAATTTGCATGATACCGAAAGTCCTCTCTTTCGTTTTTTTTATGTATCGTGTTGCAAGGACTTGTCTATCACTTTCTAATTCTGCAATAGCACAAATCATTTCCTGTGGTACAATAACAGTTTTAGAGGTAAAAAATATGTGTATCTCTTAACAAAATGTATATATAACATATATTACACACACACATGTATTTTTATATATATATATGTATGTATTTTTTAATAATATATTATGTTTTCTTCATTTCTTCCTACTATAGTACAAACCTAAACGGTAAACCAAACGATTATCAAAATAAATACTTTCTCAAGTTCATTTTTACCTTAACAAATCATCACTGTAATAAAAATGCCTTGGACAAAAAAGAATATGAAAATGAATAAATTTAATCTAAAATGTGTAGTGTAGAGTTGCAGACAAATACTCTTCGCTCCCTAATCCGAACAAATAAGTGCAATGCATGATGAGACAAGAACTGGACTTCCCAACTAGAGCTTCTATGGAATTCAAAATATGAGAAAAAGGGTGACATAAAACGTTTTCCAGCCTAAATAAAGTATGTCCCTTAATGAATCCAATCTACTTATTAATTGGGCCAAAGTGGCGCCAAAACGCACTCTGTGCCTAGATAATAACAAAACAAAATATGTTAAAATACCGAATATATTTTTTGCCAGAAACTACCTGATAAACCTCAGAATTTCTAACAAAATACCTAATATAATAAATGTTATTGTAAGAAACTACCTGATATAAGGTAAAATGTTATAAAGACTACCTCTAATCGAATTTCCACCATTGAACAATTTTTCTGACGTTGGCCCACTGCAAAATTTCCTTGAAATCGTGCATTTTGGATTTGGAAGGTGATTTCGGCTTGGCAGAGGCAATTTTAAGCGGGTTATGTTACTTTTGGGTTTGGGGGTGTTTTGTGGTGGGTTAACGCTAGAAAATTAGGTTAACGGTGGAGATCCGACCAAAGGTAGTCTCTTATAACATTTTACCTTTTAATAGGTAGTTTCTTATAACATTCATTTTATTAGATAGTTTGTCACAAATTCTAGGTTTTATTAGGCAGTTTCTGACAAAACAACTTAGTATCTTAGCACAACTCTCGGTGTCACGCGTAGCATTTATGTGCTACCCTTAGGATTGAACGAATGTCAAAAGCGTCAATGAAAATCCCAAGGAAGAAGGTGCTATTTTAAAATAATGGTCGCCATATTAATAAGAATGTCACTATGTTAAAATAAAGGTTATTATGTAAAAGAAATTCATGTGCTAATAAAGGTCACAAGAGATTTATATATTACATAATGAGTTTCAATGTATTAATCAATGTGAATAATAATGGTCATTATGTTAAAGTTAGGGTCACGATGTTCAATATAACGTCGACTACACATATGGATCTCAAGTTTACTATAATATTATAGTGATATGATGTGTCATATTTATATAGGATTTATAGGCACGCTTATGCTACTTTTATAGTTACGTTTTAGGTTTTTTTTTTTTTTTTTTTTTTTTTTGTCGTTTTAGGGTCATGTTTGCATAAATCATCATATATCTCTCTGTTACACTCCGTTTGTGTTTTCATAATGTTTCAGGTGATTTCATAGTCATTTAGACGCTTTCGAAATGTTTATAGTTAATTCGGATGATATTTGGACACAATGTCGATGAATTGAGGTTGAATTGATCAATGAAAGATATGTGTTTTTTAAAGCTAAGGTCTAGATTTATATGCATGAGAAATGAAAATATAATCCAAAAAAGTCGCTCTGCACCTTTAGGAGATGAATTTGAGTTAGAAACGGAGAAAAACGATGGTTTACAAAGTGTCAAAACATATATTTGTTACTCTTTTATATCATAACTTGAGATTTATAGATCGGATTGGAGTGATTCAAGTTGCGTTGGAAACTAGACTTAAAGAGCTTTCCAACGATACACTACATGCCCCTACATGATTCCTAGATCTTGAGTTACGGCCCTCCGAAGTTGGATCTGCGAAGCTGCCAACCCATCGCCCAACCATCGGGTGATGGTCGTGCTATGCGTGAGAGACGTAGCTACTGATTGGAGCGATGGAAAACCAATGCCCTTTGATTGAACTCCTTCCTATGCAGCTTATCCGACCATCGTCCAATGGGTGGGTGTGTGCGCATACGATGAGGAATCCTATGTGGACTACAACTCTATATTTCAACCAATCATTAAGCGTCTTATTTTTATTTTCCAGTTTTATTTTGGATTAGGAATAATATAAATACTCAAGGAAATTATTTTTCACTTCGGTCGTTGATATATGCCTTTTATTTTATACGTTCGTTTTAGTTTTCTCTCTAGCCCTAATTTTTCATGGACTACTCCATGGATTCCTCCATGGATTTGTTATTGAGTTTGTTACTTTAATTTATTGAGTTAATTTTATTTCTTACTTTAATATGCTTTCTTTATTAGATTAGTTTTTATTATGTATTTCATGATTTAATAGTTTAGTTTCTAGGGTTTGGGAATCCATTTTTGTACTACAATTGTTGATTGATGTTATTTATGGTTTGATTATTCTTTAGTATATCTAATTGATAGCGTTCTACTATTAATCTTACAACCAGGTCAATTGTTTGATTAATTATTGTTAATAAGAGTTGGAATCGAAAGATCATACTTTTAGAGACTTACTTACAATTAGTAATTCTGATTATGTTAGTGACCGAACTACATATTTGAATTGAGAGTGTTAAGACCCGACCTTAGGCTGAGCAATTACTCTAGATACTTGATTGATTGAATTGTTAATGGTATTTTAATAGATTTAAAGTTATAGGCATTGTGGACTATAACCCTAGGCCTTCCTTTTTTTTTTTATTGATTTTTATTCGTACTTTTATTATTTTAGAATTTTTATCCCAATTTCGTGACATAGTTTAGTTTCTCCAATTTTTTAGAAGTTAGATTGAATAGCCATCTCTCCGTGGATTCGACCCTACTTACCCTACTATATTGTTAGTTGGTTTTGTTAGAAATTTATCTTTTGACAGGTGTACGACAACCTATCAGGATCCTAGTCCAAACAGTTTTAGTAAAGGATTTACGAAATAAACGTTTTAATAAAGGTTATGATATTAAAATTAGGAACACTATGTTCAATATAACGTTGGTTGGCATTTGCGGACCTCAGATCCACACAAGTTCTTTTCCTTTAATCTACCACCATTATATTTATTATTTCTAACTTATCCCTAATTTCATCCTATTTTCTCTAATATGTCAAAAAAATGTATACCTTCACCTAAACCTAGACTTGTAAATCGGGTCGGTTGGTTCAAGTCACTCTATGTCACAGTCATATCGGGTCGGGTCACTTTGGGTTACGGATCGAGAAATGCATTTCTAACCCAAAGTTTCGGGTGTGGGCCAACCCAAGCCAATGGGTTAAGAACAATATTTTTATTTACTTTATTTTGCCTAATGTTTATAAATATTTGATTTATCAAGCTTTCTTTGCTATTTACTTTTCAATTTTAGTAATCGAACAATTTCGCCAATATTATTTTTAGGCATTACATGTCTATTACTTCCTTTGTCCCTAATATTTTGTCTCATTGTCAATTGTTGGGTCAAAGTTTGCTAGCTTTGACTATAAATTCCGGTTAATATATATATAAGAGAAAATATAGTCAGTTTTTATAATTTTTACGTATCTTGGATACCGTAAAAAGTCAAATAGGGAAAACAATTAGGGATGGAGGAATACATAATTTAAATTTTCACCAAACTAAAAACCATCTTATAGCAGTTGGTGTAGGCTATACAGTCAGTGGCATGATGGCGATGTGGGTTATACAGATGCGCAATTGGTGTGGGTTGATGGTTGGTGTAGAAGGTAATTGGTGTGAATACGAGAGAAAGATATATGAGATAGATTGATGAGAGATAGAATGAAACGTAGGATCTTGGACAAATGATCAACTTCAATAAAGAACTAGATTTTCGTTAAACAAAAAAACCCATAACAACGGGTCGACGGGTCGGGTTTGACCTACAAATCTATGGGTTAAATAGCTTCGGATTAAACAGGTTCGGTTTAAATCGGGTTTCAAGTAAAAAAAAAATTGTTCTGGTACAGGTCGGGTTGAAAATTTCACATATTTACCTACAAAAATGAGTCGGGTACAGATCGGGTCGAAAATTTTACAGATTTACCTACACCCACTTGTCGTCCCCAACCGGATAACCAACGGTAAAATCAATATTTATGGAGACAAAAATAAATGATAATTGTTATCATTGAACGTGTATTTACTACGAAGTACATCGTATATTTTTTAATCTTATTATCGACTTAGAATTCATCTCTCGGTCGCATTCTCTATACTCTCTGTCTAACTTCTATCTTTTCTTCAAATTTGCTCATAGTATTAATTCTATTGCTTTAAGTACATACGGGATTGTGGTCGAAGATGTTGTAGGGTAGAGTTGTGAATTCCAGTCAAATCACAAAATCATCTTTTATCTTCTCTTTTTATTCGATTCATATGCTTATTTGATATATATTTGGGTAATATAATTTGCATAAAACCTTAACATTCCTTGATGTGTCTCCTAAAAATTGAGGAGTAATATATAGCTTTAACAAAATGGTGATCCTCTTTTATTCATGGACCTTCACTACGTGTTGTTGTTGTACATTCGAATATCAACGTCACTACAAAATAAAAAAAAATAACAACAATGTAGTGTTTAAAAGATGATAATTCACATTAATGATGATTAGTTATTTTCAATGTCACTAAAAAACACTAACTACTCCTTTTTGCACATGTTTTTAAACTTGTAATGTTGATTTTAGCCCTACAACTTTGGTTTTAGAAAATGGAGACTCTTACTTACTCTAAATTCCTCTCTACTTAACACATTGTTGACTCTCGTTTACTTGAATGTTAATAAATACATCAACAAATATAAATTTCTAAATAACTCACAAACTGATTTAAGTGGATCCCCCATTTCAGGCTAAGGCTTCAAGTTGGCCCACTCACGGGATCATGCTATATCGACTAAAAATAGTGGGCATTTCGTGCCAAATTCGGTCGGTGTCAAAATCAAATAAGATAATATGGGTTGCCTAATACCCATAAAAATTAAAAATCGGGTGGAGACAAACTGGGTCCGAAATTCAAGCCAAAAAAGCCGCACAAATTCGGCACTTTACGGGCCTTATAAAAGGGATACTTTGATCAAGTTTATTACATATTCTTTGTTACAAAAATATACAATTATTATGGATGTCCATTATGACCTGTAACTCCCTTAATATCATGTCTCTATTTATAACTTCCTTGTAACCCCCATATGTAGGGGTGGGACTTCGGTCTGGCGGTTCGGTTTGACCTCGGTTTGAGTCGGTTTCGGTTTGGAGCGGTTCGAATTAAAACGGTTTAGTTTAGCTGGCGGGTCGGTTTGGTTCGGTTTGGGTTAGTCACGGCTCGGTTTGGTTTCGGTTTATTTCTTTGCGGTTTAAAATCGGTTTGGGTCATAAGCGGGTCGGTTTATAAACGATTCGGATTATGTCGGTTCGGTTTGATACGGGTCGGTTTAAGGGGCGGGTTTACCCGGATCAATGTCAGTTCGGTTTACAAACGGTTTGGATCAAGCCGGTTTGGTTTGAAATGGGTCGTTTTAGGGGCGGATTTACCCGGGTCAATATCGGTTCGTTTTATAAACGGTGCGAATCATGTCAGTTCAGTTTGAAATGGGCCGGTTTAGTAGAGGGTTTACACAGTTCAATTGGTTCGGTTTATGAACGGTTTGGATCATGTCGGTTCGGTTTATAAGCGGTTTGGGTCATGAATTCATGATTGTTTTAAAGATCGCGTCATGACCATTTAATGAGTTGATACTTATAATACGATAAATCGATAATTAAGAATGTACAAGTATTCAATTAGATTGATCAACAAGTGTTTTAAACTTTTAAGTTTTAATAATCAGATATGTAAATATGTTTATCGATTGTAGTACATACCAATAATTCAACGAGGCAATGATACTTATGATAGTATGATAATGATACCAACCGTACATTCGTACGATATGATATACATAATAATTAATCTATAATTACATATACATTAACAATATCGTATTGAATCAATGTTCATTTCCAAACATTGCATTTCTTATAAATTATAACTTACACGAGATTAAATGGATTCGTTATTTAGTTTGTTACTTTATTTAGATTACTAACTCAAACAACTTAATAAGTTAAATGGACGAAATCACGAAATCACTAATTAAAGTGGTGATGAAATCATTATGCAATACTAATGTACGAATAGTCAAATATACAACGGTTAGATTGAATGCCCATGAAAAACAATGGTTAGATTTTCATTACTTTATTAGTTATTAGTATTATTACTTATTAAGTTATTATTAGTTTATTATATATACTGATATACAGTCACAGACTCACATATATATATAATATACATATAAACTATAGAGATGTCAGATATTGATGTGCATTAACTCATTAAGTCATTAACGGGTCGGTTTAAACGGTTTCGGTTCATAAACGGGTCGGTTTAAACGGTTAGCGGGTTACAAATGATTCGGTTTAAACGATTTTTTTTTCGGTTTAAACGGTTTCGGCTTATAAACGGTTCGGGTCATTAACGGGTTTATAAACCATTCGGTTCGGTTTCGTTTCGGTTCGGATTTGCGCAGTTTGGTTTGTTATCGGTTTACGGTCCGTAACGGGTTGACATTGAGCAGTTCAATTCGGTTTCGGTTTGATATTAAACAGTTCAGTTCGATTTTCGGTTTATATTTATCGGTTTATAAACGGATCGGTCCGTAATGGTTCGATTCGGTAACGGGCGGTTTCACGGTTCGGTTTGAAAAGTCCCACCCCTACCCATATGTCATTACTTCACATTGTAGCCCCTACATAAATGGAGTCTTAATTGTCCACAAAGGTTATATTGTTATAATATTCTCATCATGTATATATATGACATAATCTAATGAAATGATAGAACAACAACACATTACTTTCTATATCTTTCTCCAATATTCTTTCTTATTCCTTAATTATTTCATAACATTCTTATGTACTTACTTTTTTTTTTGAAAGGTTCTTATATACTTATATTTATGATATGTAAGAAAAAAAAAAAAAAAAACTCTTATATTTATGATTTACAAGTATTTTTTTTATACAGATTTAACAATGTATTGATACTAATAAAACAAGAAGGTGTATAAAAATTTGTTACTTATGATTTGGTATTTTTATGAATCAAAATCAAGTTAGATAGTACATACCACATCCATTTGAGAATGAAAATGTCTACGATTAACAATCTCTGCAATGGCCTGAAATAAAAGTTTTGTGTAATGATAAGTAAAAATGGATTACTAGATTGAATAATTACTTCGTATAAATATTTTCATTTTCTATTTTTGATGTAACATACTCTAAGAAAAAAAAATTACTATTTTTTCTAATATAAATGTGAAATGTTGTATATAATAATATTCTTGAATAAACTTATAAACACAATTTTATTTTTTATCAATTTTATTTTTTATCAATTTTATTTTTTATTTTTTATTTTTTTTTATTTTTATTTTTTTATTATAGGTGATTTCGTTAAAGTAAAAGATTAGATAATTCTCACTTGCAACACTTGACTTATTCACTAATTATAAACTATGTTGACTACATTTATTTTCATAATTTATATTTAAAAAATTAAAATGTTGTGAGATAAAGTGAAGTTAATTATTTTTTATAGTCTTTATTTATAAGTAATTAAATGTTATGGTGTAAAAATACAAAAATAATATAATAATAGTGAAAAGCTTTTGTGAATGTTGTATATATTATCTCGAAGTATTTAGGAAACAAATGAAATAATATCTAATTATCATAATAAAGTAATTATATTTAGTAAAGTTTCGAGGGGAAATCTTTCTTTAATTAATCTAAAAGGTGATAATGCTATTAGATCAAATTCATTTGTCTAACATCATAATAGTTTGTATTGACCAAGCTTTTGTATCCTTAGAAAGATTTAAGTTGATTTAATAAAATTTTGTTTGTTCTTTTTAATTAGTTTCCTTTCATTCTTTAACTTGAAAAAAAAATATCAAAACTATTATTGTGATTTTTTTCTTGTACTTCCTCCTTTTTTAACTTATAATGTTGTGTCATGAAATGCACTTTAAGGTAGCTATTAAAAAAGTTAAATAATCAACAGTGATAAGTAATTTAAAAGTACTTACAAGTCTCTTTTGGAAATAAATCTTAAAAAATGGTATTGAGTAACTAAAAATGTTGATGGTCAAATGGTACGTTAGAAATCACGTGGTTCAACTAATAAAAAAGTAGAATAGAATATCTAGAAAATCTTTTTTAAAAATATTAATGAGATTGGATAATAGATAAATATAATTTAACTAGTTTATGGATAACTTAATATAAAATTTAATCAATAATATGAAACTTAGTTACACTCATTTAGCTTCATTAAATACTAAAATTGAACAAATAACACACAATCCAGTTAAATTTTAAAAAAAAGTTTGAAAAAAAAAATAGAAATTAATAAATTAGTATGTTACCTTCATCTCTGTTTGTGTAAGGAAAGGTTGTCCATCTGGATCTCTTGAGAGGTGAACCTTTTGGCCTCTAATTTCTCCAGAATCAAGCCATTCAGTTCTAACTTGAGGATCTAACCATAAGGCTTCAATGTCTAAAGGGTGAACACAATCATCCCAATATTTGAAGCTAGTTGTCATTTTCTCTGTCGTCATTTACAATAATATATGAAGATAATTAATTATATATTGATTTACAATGTCTTAAGTTTTTGTAGAATAATATTATTTTAGTGATAGAACACAGGATAATTATTTATATATATGGTTATATGCATACCTTAACTATTGTAAGATTAAAAAAAATTGATGGAATAAACAGCTAATTGGCACTTTTAATGTAAGTTTTACCGAATAACATATTTATATATGATAACAATATCTATGTTTAACCAATAATTTGTAATAAGAAAGGTGGAATTCAAACTGAAACATACTTACATTGTAATGATTTATCCATAAACATATAATAACATTTATGATTTATATCTTTAGATAGGGAGCATATATACAAATGCTTCAATGAGAATAAAGAGTTATAAGTGATTAGGTAATAGTCATAACAATAAGAAAATGTTTCACATTCAACCCAATTATCATAATGATGACAAAAGCAATGCGATTATTAATTACCTTTGATAACTTTGAAACGAATGGATGAGCTACATATATAATATCAGATGAAGAAATTATTTAAAGTAACCATAGCCATAGAGAATGCTGGACATTTTATTATGTATTTTAAATTAAATGCAATCAATTGCATTTACAGCTTTTTCTTAGCAAATAATACGCACATTGCCACGTTGTATGAGAAATTGTGGTTGAAATTGTTGTTACATTTACAATTATTATTAATATTAAGAATCAGAAATATGATTCATATATTTTAAAAAAAAAGTTAGTAATAAGGTAATCCCTACCTTATAAAAAGTATAATGATAACTCTTAGGAATAGTGTGCTACCAACTATACCCTAAAAAATGTGTACAAAAATATGTAAAAAAAAAATATGTATTTACATTTTTACCCTCATTAATATGTTTACCATCATTAATATATTTAATGTTTATTTTTCACTAAACATATCATCAATTAATTCAAAGTTTTTTTTAACAAAAACTTGTAATGCTTTTTTTTTTTTTTTTTTGAATAAAAAAAACTTCTAATGCTTATACTTCATATGTTATTATTATTATTATTTAAAAAGAAAAGAAAACTGTGTGTACGAAGAGACTGTTTATTACCAAGAGGTTGTTTATTTTTACTCCTTCGTGGTTGCTCTTCTTATTTACAATCTTGTCGTCCTTTAATTGCAACTATATTGTTATGGTTTATTAGCTTTTGAAATTTACATTGTTTGATGGCACATAAACAACGTTATGGAATTGTGAATGCGATTCATATTAAATAGTGATATTTGAGCAGATGTTATCAAGAAATAAAGAACTTCAAAATCCTAAAATGAAGGGAAATCAATGATATATATATATATATATATATATATATATATATATATATATATATATAAATTAAAAAAAAAAAACTGGTATTAATAATTATGGGAGAGAAAATGAAGGAATTTAAGAGGAAAAATATAACTAAGTGGTTATTTCTTTAATATTAGATATATAGATATTAGATGGTCGTACAACATTAAAGAACTTACATTATTAAGGTTTTAGCTGCAACATTTCACATATACTACTCCGTATGACCTAAACTCACCAAAAAATCATCTAAAGAACACCACGCTAGAAATATTTTACTAAGTATTATTGAAACATATGCAAATCAATTAAGAGTTTTAAATCAAAGGAGCAAGGTGGATGAAGATCAATGAAGGTTCAAGTGGGAGCATTTCAAGTCTAGTTTCTTAGGACTAAGGGGTCATACTATGTCATGTTTTATTTATGCATTAGTAGATCATGCATGTTAGATTTCATTGATGTTTGTGATGATGCGCTAGAGTTCACTAAATAATCACAACATAATAAATATAGGTCCCGGTAATATTGAGATTGCTTTTCTAATTAGATACCCAACAACCCTTTGATCGTAAGTGATGGATCTGCCTCCAGGGTGCCACTTGTTATCTTAGGTAATTTGGAGTAGATCACGTTTTACACATTTAAGGTTGTGCTCAACAAGGTTACCTAAAGCGTTTAGAACGTTAAAGCAAAGGGTAATAATTAAACATGTGATTGTTAATTATAACCAAGTGTTACAAGAGTTGTAATTAGTAAAGAGTTTACTCACCTTGAAAATGTAATGCTTGATGGTAGGGCCTCAGTCCGGTCAACTATTACACAAATAAAGGATCTTGGAATCACTTAATTAAATTAGGACTATTTTACATTGAATAAATTGCTTTAAAGTAATCTATTTAATTCGTTTATGATACTTTAATTTTATTAAACATAATTATTGAACTTTGCCTTATTATTTCACAGATGGGTAGCCGTAACAATGACAACAATATTTACAACCTTCGACCATTCCTTGAGAAGGATAGGTTGACAGGAGACAACTTTTCCAATTGGGAAAGAATGCTAAGACTTGTTCTGAAATCTGAAGGTAGAGAGGATGTCATTGACACCCCATTGCCTGCACCTTTAGAGTTGGGTGACAATCACCTGCTTGATGATTGCTACTATGGAGCATGGCCTTCAAAAGCGTTTTGAAGACCAGGATACATACACCATCATGTAAGAACTCAAAGCCTTGTTTAAGAAACAGGCACGAGTTGAGAGGTACGAGCTCCATCGAGAGATTTTGAATTGTAAGATGGAGAAGGGTGCAACAGTTTATGATCATGTTTTCAAAATGATCGGCCTAATTCAAAATATGGAGAAACTAGGGCACCCATACAACAATGAGATGGCTACTGACATCATTCTCCACTCAATTCCAGAATCCTTCAATATGTTTATCATGAAATTTAACATGTCTGATGCTGAGGAGACTATGAATGAGTTACATGTTATGCTGGTTAGTGCAGAGAAGCAAATCCCCAAGGATGTTAAAAAAGAGGTTCTTATGGTCCATAAAGGGAAAAGGGTTCAAGAAGAAGGGGCAAGGGGAAAATGTTAAGGGTAAGGGCAAGAAAGTTGCCAAGACTCCTAAAAAGCCCAAGGAAACTCCAAAGCCCAAGCCTGCAGGTGAAAGTTAATATTTTTAATGTAAGAAAAAGGGGCATTGGAAGCGCAATTGCTAGAAATACCTTAACTACCTCAAGAAGAATAGAGCATCGACCTCAGGTTATATGTTATAAACATTTTAACTTTCACTTAGGTATGTGATACCAAGTTGCAGTGCTAACATTATTCATGTTGTGCAGAAACTGCTAAGAAGTGAGGCTAACATTGGAAATGGAGCTTAAAGGTGCACGAGAAGTGTTCAAGTGGCCAGAGAAAGCTTCATAGTTTTAAATTCTGATTACATTATGATGATTTTGGACTGTTTTCGGTTTTTTGATGAGACAATTTTTCAGTTTTTGTTTGAAATACAGATTGGTTTACTTGGCATGGACAAGTGCTGATCCATGACAAGGTAATAAATTGTTTTCATTTGATAGCTATGAGTTAATTTTGTTTTATAACATTAATATAAGTAGATCACAAAAGCAAAACAGATGATTCAAACCAACCTACTTATAACATAGTAAGGTTAGGTCACATAAACCAATTGCGCATCCAAAGATTACAATTGGATGGGCTCTTATCCTCATTTGATTATGAATCACTTGAGAATTGCAAGTCATGTTTGTTAGGTAAGATGACCAAGTCACCTCTTAGTTGAAAGGGTGAAGGAGCTAATGACCTTTTTAGAACTCATACATATGGATGTGTGTGAACCAATAAGTTCAAAAACTAGCAAAGGATTCAAAATACTCCATTACTTTTACTAACGATTTAAGTAAATATGGCTATATTTAATTAATGAAGCGAAAGTTGGAATCATTGAAAAGTTCAAGGAATTCCAGAATGAAGTATAAAATCAGCTTGAGAAAACAATTAAAGCACTTCGATCTGATCGTTGTGGTGAATATTTGACTCAAGAATTTTATGATCATCTAAAAGATTGTCGAATTACTTCACAATCAAAGGAACACCACAATCAAATGTGTTAGAAAGCAGGAATTAAACTTTGCTTGACTTAGTTCGATCCATGATGAGCTTTACTGATCTTCACATATCGTTCCGAGGATATATATTAGAAAACAGCTGCGAATATACTAAATAGAAACCCGTCCAAAGCAGTTGAGAAGACGCCATATGAGTTATGGACTGTAAATATTCCAAAGTTGTCTTTTCTCAAGATTTTGGTTTGTGAAAACTATGTAAAACGTTTACAAAAGGTGACGAAATAGACCCTAAAATCGGATAAATGTTTCTTCATGGGTCATCCATAGAAACAAAAGGATATTACTTCTACAATCGCGCAGATAACAAAATGTTTGTTGCTCGCGATGGTGTCTATATAGAAAGGAATCTCTTTCTACAAAGCCAAGTGGGAGTAAAGTGGCTCTCGGAGAGATTCGAGACAAGCAACAAATGGATGTGGATAACACCATCAGAGGCGAGGGCGCATGAGTCAGCTAAATTGACGAATCATGTGTCGGAGCAAGCTAATTTGACTAGCGAGACTCCTATCGTCCCACTAGAATGAAAAACTTCAAAGAGTTGAAGGGTATATTTCTAATGTTGCTCATACCAGTAAGTAGGTAGTTCAGAAAAAAAAAAATAGTTTGTTAAAATTTTGATAAACTGAGGATTCCAAAATTTCCTAATGGAATGCATGGAACCCACTGCTTACAAGCAAGCTTTGGTGAGCACCAACTCAGGAAATGGCTTAGGGACATAAAATCCAGAATGGACTCCATGTTAGAAAAATGATGTGTTAGTCCTGATAGAGTTGCAAATGGGGTCAAACCCATTGGTTGTTTAAGTTTATTCGGATTCTTCTAGCGATTGCTAAAATTTTACGAAATTTGGCAGTTGGATGACAAAACCGCCTTCTTGAATATGTTCTTGATGGAAGATGTGTATATTACACAACCTAAGGGTTTTGTAGATCCAGAAAATCCTAGAAAGCTTTGCAAGCTTCAGAAATCCATTTATGGATTGAAGTAAGCATCATAGAGTTGGAACACT